TTTTTCATAGATGGCTTTTATGATATTGAGGTATGTACCCTCTATCCCTATACTCTGAAGAGTTTTGATCAAGAAAGGATGCTGTACTTTTTCAAATCCTTTTTTTGCATCTATTGAGAGGATCGTATGGTTCTTGTTCTTTCTTTTATTAATGACCTGAGCCAAAGGCAGACGCTTAACTGACTGAGCCACCCAGGTGCCCCTGGCTTGATGTTATCTTAATCTGTCATTTTTAGACTCTCACAAATCTTATGTATTCATCTGCAAAATGTTTTGTCTAGTGAGCCAGTTTATTATACAATAAAAGTAAAACTCTAAGCAGATGTTGTGTATTCTGTCCCCACTTATTACCATTGTGACTCTGGATAAGTCAACTAATTGTTTAGAGCTTCAGTTTATTCATTTTTTAAATGGGAGTAATAATAACAAAATGTGTGGTAATTTGCATGTCAAATGAAGAGGATGCTGATGATGTTGATGAGGACAATAATAATTGAAAGCTTTTTGCAAATTGTAAGTGATAGTATTGTTGCTATTTTATTCTTAGGTATTTAAAGATTTCCCTTCTTTTGCTAGTGTGTTGATAATATGGCAATTGTTGATTGAGAGAGAGAAATTAATTACTAGAGTAAAGATATAATGTCAGTTTCTATAGAATCCACATGATTCCATATACAAATAAGTGAATGTAATATTGCAGGGTACTGGCTGAACTACCTGGATGGGCTTTGGGATAGGAAGGAGAAATTGGAACTAAATGAAAATACAAATTAAGTGGGTCTATAACTGGTTGAATGACCCTAGAGAAAGATAATTAAAGAGTTGATATTAACCTAGAGAGAGAAGTTTCCTTTAAAATGACTCTATGTACTTTTTACTAATGATTGGGATGGGGATATTCATGACATGATAATTAAGTATGTGGAGGGATAGCTCAGATTCAGAATCTCAAGAGTCTGAACTTATGGACTGAAACTATCAAAATGAAATTTGGTAGGGAAAAATGTAAAGATCTTCAATTTGTTTCTTATCCTAACTGTTCAAGTACAGAATGAATATGACATAGCTAAATTTGTAACTAGGAGGTAAGAAAAAGGTCTGGGTGTTTGAATTGACTATAGATAATGAGTAATGAGGTAGCTAGGGAAAGCTAATATGAAGAACCCAAGAACATCAGAGTTGCTTGAAGCCCGGGACATTTGGGGGAATGGTGTAGTAGGGTTACCTTTCTGCTACATAGTAAGACTATGTAGACTAACTCT